ATTACAATCCAACTCACTACTGACTGAGCTATTCCACTGTCCTACCAGACGACAATCAAACTCACTACCGACTGAGCTATTCCACTGTCCTAGCAGACGACTATCCAAATAGCTACTGACTGAGCTATTCCACTGTCCTACCAGACGACAATCAAACTCACTACTGACTGAGTTATTCCACTGTTCTAGCAGACGACAATCCAACTCACTACTGACTGAGCTATTCCACTGTCCTACCAGACAACAATCAAACTCACTACTGACTGAGTTATTCCACTGTCCTAGCAGACGACAATCCAAATAGTTACTGACTGAACTATTCTACTGTCCTAGCAGACAACAATCCAACTCACTACTGACTGAGCTATTCCACTGTCCTAGCAGACAACAATCCAACTCACTACTGACTGAGCTATTCCACTGTCCTAGCAGTCAACAATCCAACTCACTACTGACAGAGCTATTCCACTGTCCTAGCAGTTGACAATCCAACTCACTACTGACTGAGTTATTCCACTGTACTAGCAGACGACAATCCAACTCACTACTGACTGAACTATTCCACTGTCCTACCAGAACAATCAAACTCACTACTGACTGAGTTATTCCACTGTCCTAGCAGACGACAATCCAACTCACTACTGACTGAGCTATTCTACTGTCCTAGCAGACAACAATCCAACTCACTACTGACTGAGCTATTCCACTGTCCTAGCAGACAACAATCCAACTCACTAGACAATAAAACTCACTATCGACTGAGCTATTCCACTGTCCTAGCACACGACAATCCAACTCACTACTGACTGAGCTATTCTACTGTCCTAGCAGATGACAATCTAACTCGCTACTGACTGTGTTATTCTACTGTCCTAGCAGACGACAATCTAACTCGCTACTGACTGAGCTATTCTACTGTCCTAGCAGATGACAATCTAACTCGCTACTGACTGAGTTATTCCAATGTCCTAGCAGATGACAATCTAACTCACTACTGACTGTGTTATTCTACTGTCCTGGCAGACGACAAACCAACTCGCTACTGACTGAGCTATTCCACTGTCCTAGCACACGACAATCCAACTCACTACTGACTGAGCTATTCCACTGTCCTAGCAGACGACAATCCAACTTACTTCTGACTGAGCTATTCTACTGTCCTAGCAGACGACAATCCAACTTACTTCTGACTGAGCTATTCTACTGTCCTAGCAGACGACAATCTAACTCACTAGAAAATCCAACTCACTACCGACTAAGCTACTCCACTGTCCTAGCAAAAATGCAAAAATCTCATAACTAGGTTAGAGATTCAGGCATATATCTCTCCTCCTTTTCGCCCCCCCTCGGATGTAAACCTGGCACTGCCACTTCAAAACAGTTGTAATGTTGAAAACACTCAGTGATTCACTAATCAGCTGATAGGGGCCCTGTGTGTGTGTCTTATTGCGTTGTTATACTAGCCTAGTGTTGTTAAAGTAAATACTACTATATTGTTTTCTGTAGTAAAGTGGGTGAGGCTAGATTACTCTATCTTGATATCTGCCACATTGTTAGAGTATTGCACCATTATAAAACAGTTCTGTTAGCTTTATTCTAGTCCACTTATTTCAAACTGTTTGTATTCAAAAATTTTTCATTTGTGTTTGCTATTTTCAGGGTTTGATTTGAGTCTTGAATATATGTAAATGTAGGAAAATCACATAATTCCTTCAAAAATACAATGATACACTATACATGGTCCTTGGTTGATTTGAGTCTTGAATATATGTAAATAGTCTTCAGAAATACTAGAAATGTACAAAAATCACATAATTCCTTCAAAAATACAACGATACACTATACATGGTCCTTGGCTTGGTTGATTTGAGTCTTGAATATATGTAAATAGTCTTCAGAAATACTAGAAATGTACAAAAATCACATAATTCCTTCAAAAATACAACGATACACTATACATGGTCCTTGGCTTGGTTGATTTGAGTCTTGAATATATGTAAATAGTCTTCAGAAATACTAGAAATGTACAAAAATCACATAATTCCTTCAAAAATACAACGATACACTATACATGGTCCTTGACTTGGTTGATTTGAGTCTTGAATATATGTAAATAGTCTTCAGAAATACTAGAAATGTATGAAAATCACATAATTCCTTTAAAAATACCTCAAACTAGGAATTTATTTTCCTATTTCTATAGATGTCTTTTCTATATATGACAGT